GAGGTCTCGCCAAGTTGCCCAGGTGGGTCTCGAACCCGCGGGCTCAGGCAATCCACTCACCTCGGCCTCCCAAAGCGCGGGATTACAGGCTGAGCCACCGAGCCCGGCTAGGGGTGAGGTTTTAAGGGGTCTTGGGCCCCTCGTGGTTGGACTCAGATTCGAACCTCGGCTGCTGAGACAGAAGGCTGTGCAGCCCCTGCGGAATCAGGCATTGAAACAGAGACCCACTCGTGTCTGTCCATGTTGCCACGACCCCTAGAGAAGGGCACGGCCAGGGTTCCAGCGCTCCTGTACATTCCTGAGAGCTAATAAAAGGTGTGCCTCCCCTTATCTCCTATGCACCCCCAGTAAGAAACTTCAAAGGACCCTCAACTTCCCTGCAGATTATGCCCAGTAATTCACTGAGAGATATGGAAAGATGGGCCGGTGCCGCGGGAATGATGCATGATCGCAGCCAAGTAGGAAACTGGGGGGAGGGGGGGGAGATGGGATTAACGGTAGTAAATATCTGTCTGGGGATGGGGAGACACCTCTTATCAACAAGGGTGCCTGAACGAAGCATATTTGTATACCTAACCCTTAACTGTACCCCACAATAGTATAATAAAAAATATTGATAAAAATAAATAAATAAAAAGAAAGCAGAAAGAAGTAAAGTTTATTATTCACCTTTCACAGATTGGAAAGGGGGCCGACTGTCAGAGGCGAATGAGGTCTTGAGTGGCCAAGGGTTAGGAATAATTAAGAGCCTTTGGGGAAAGGGGGTTTGGGCCCTCAAAGGACCTGGATCAAAAGAATGCCCAGGGCTGTAGATTTCTCAGTCTCTGTAGCGGCGTTTCTTGACTTCGCCAGGCATCTGCAGGCTGTGTCCTTGAGGTGGTGGACTGGAGGTAGTTACAGTCAGGTGATAACAATAAGAGCCCGAGGTCATCACCAGCAACTGACAAAAAATATGAATGCAAGCAGCTGAAAGACAAACTGTTAGCAAACCGGGCATGCTTAAGGGATTTTGTATAATTCCTTTCTTCTAAACTAAAATGAAGCATTCCTCTCATTAGTGATTAGAAGCTGTGCAGTTTAAAATGGCTGTGTGAATTGTATTGTTAGAATGGCTACTTAAGACTAAATATATTTTAAAGCGTGTTCTATATTTCAGAGATTCCCTGCTTTATATATATATTCCTGAGCACATTCCAGAGAGTCCCCTTATCTCCTATGCACTCCCAGTAACTAGCTTTAGGGGACCCTTTACTTCCCTGTAGACTAGGCCCAATCAACTGAAAGATGCAAATCCCCATTTGGTAGTCATAGGTTTGAATAATACAGTGTCGATGTAATCGTAAATCTTGTCATTTATATAACTTTTGTATTAATGTAATCATAAGTTTTGTGATTTGTATAACTTTTGAATAATGCACAATGTCTTAGGCCTCATAACTCTCTTCACTCTATGGCAAGCTTATTAACACTTCTGCCAGGCCCTGCTGATAAAAGCTGTGAGGTACCTCTGGTACCTGGCACCAGGAAGTCTGGACCGAAGAATGCCACTGTTAGAGTCACACTCTCCCATCAGGGCCTCCAGAATGTTAAGTCAGGCCCACTGGGGGTGTGGGTGTCTGGTGTGCAATCTGTTGCTGCACGAAAGATGGAAAGAGTTGCACAGAAGTTAAATTACAGAATATAGGTTATTTGAAAGTAAATTAGAGAGATAAAGGGAGGGAGGAAGGAAGAAAGGAAAGAAAGAGGAAGGAAGGGGGCGAGGGGAGATTCACCACCCCGAGGAAGGGGAGGGGGCCAAAGCCAGGAAGCATGGCGGCAGCCGTAGCTCAAAGAGCACATGACCACACCAGAGTCCAGCAAGGCAATGGCAAAATGACTGTTCATGGTTGGGTCCTATTAACCTTTTCCTTTGATGGGGGAGATCATTAAGGTGATTGGGTGGTGGTCTGTTCCACATCATTAAGAAGAAGCAGGTAAGTACAGGTACTGATGTCAGGTGATGTACAGCAGGCAGATGAGTGGTTAGTCACGTGATTACTGCCATGGTGGTGGGCTAGATGGGAGGAGACAAGGGGAGGGGATTTTCCTGCAAGTGACTTGCCAGACATTTGCAATCCACAAACTCCATGACCAAAAGGCAGTCTGTTATTTCTATGGCTCTGTCCTTGTCTTGCATCTGATGGAGATTTGCTGAGGGAATGGGGTAGGCTGCCCCTTGGCCTGCCTTAGAATGTCTGAATGCTTCCGAAAACATGCCTATTAGAAACTTATTTTTTTAGTTGGAGTCTCTCTCTGTCGCCCAGGCTGGAGTGCAGTGGCACACTCACGGCCTCCGCAGCCTTGACCTACTGGGCTCAGACGATCTTTCCAAGTAGCTGGAACCACAGGCATGTACCACCACACCCAGCTAATTTTTTAATTTACTATAGAGACATGGTTTCACCATATTGCTCAGACTGGTCTCAAACTCCTGAGTTCAGCCAATCCTCTCGCCTCCGCCTCCCAAAGTGCTTGGATGACATGCATGAGCCACTGTGCCTGGCTGAAATTATGTACTTTAAAATAAATACTAGCTTTAATCATGACACTAGAGATTACATAGAACATGAAACCTTTGTTATATTCTTATGTTAATTAGTACTATCCCATTCTTCTGTTACAGAGACCTTAGTGCACATCAACTTCTTTTACTGGCTTCTATTTTATATAGTATTATTGTGTATTTAATTTTTTAAATATTTAAAACCTCCTAAGATATTTTCACTATTGTTTATATGACAATGCTTAGGATGTACCCAGCACATTGTTTTTCAAACTGAAGTACGGTACTCATAGGGTAGACAAAGACTTTGGAAGAAGTGTAAGTCCAAATCATCTCTTTGCATGTGATCTCATTTGTACAATTGATCTGCCAGAGAATTCACCTGCTCCTGAGGCACGGCACTGTGGTGGATCTCATTTCTCAGTGTTTACAGTCATTCCACTTATGCTTCACAGGATAAAGATGTACCTCCCCTACATTTATAATCTTGAGCATTATTGGCCAGAGATAGACAGTTTTCTGGGACACCAAATAAAGGCATATTTAATGATATCAGAGACATTGTATTAAGATGAGATGAGATGAGGGCCGGCCGGGCGCAGTGGCTCAAGCCTGTAATCCCAGCATTTTGGGAGGCCTAGGTGAGAGGAATGCCTGAACCTAGGAGTTTGAGACCAGCCTGGGCAACTTGGTGAGACCTCAACCCTACAATAAATTAGAAAAATTAGCTGGGCAAGGTGGCACATGCCTGTAGTTCCAGCTGCTAGGGAGGTTGAGGCAGAAGGATCACCTTGAGCACAGCAAGTCAAGTCTACGGTAGCCATGACTATGCCACCGTACTCCAGCCTGGGTGACAGAGTGAGACTCCCACTCAAAAATAAAAAAAGATGAGATGAGAGCCTAGGAAAAGTGACAGTATATGGGCCCAGAGGAAATGAATACTCATGTTGAATTTTCTACCTACAGGTCCTGATTCCTAAGAAGTAAAAAAAAAAAAAAAATTACCTGAAGGAGGAAGAAGTTACAGATATGGGTGTCAGCATTTCTGGGACACACTTGATAAAGACAGATTTCTGAACAGAAATTTATAGCAGATTCAGAAGACACAAAGATAGAGTATCCCAGTTGCCAGCTATTTTCCAAGAACAAAAGAAAATGATCCACTCCCAGGTAACTGACTTTTGGTTTGTTTTATTCTTTTCTTTGTTCCCTAATGACTTTGTAGAAGCCTATAAAAAAAATCGTTTCCATCAACATGAAATGCATAAATTTCAAAAAGCAGGATCTGGAGAGAAATAAGCTTAGTTTTTAAACTCAACATCAGACAGTATAGGATAAAGAATGTATTGTTCATAAGATTAACACTAAATTACTAATTTGGGGACATTGTTCATGGCTGGAGGATACTAAAGACAGTTATATTAGCTGTCATTTTGCCTCTAATATCTCTGACATGCAACACCATAGGATACTCATTATAATTTACGAGGTATTCATTGGATTTGAGAAGAAAATATTATTTTCTGGGGGAATGCCAATATTTCATGGCACTTTGGTCAGAGGAAATTTATCTTATGAATCTTCCTACAGGTCATGTGGTAGATGTTGTCCTGAACAGCTTTCTCATAAATGCAGAAGCAAGTTTTCTATGGCTGTTTCTTGAAGGATTCCTTTTAGACCTCTGTGGAATAGACTAACCACAAACTCAGTAAACACAGGGACAAACACAAGTTGATTTCAGCCTTGTGGCAGTCTGGATTTATCCAGGAATAGAGCTTAGACATTCTAGAAATGTAAAAATTTCAGGACTTTCTTTTTTTTTTTTTAAATCAATATTTTTTATTTTGATATTATGGGGTACAGTTAAGGGTTAGGTGTACAAATATGCTTCATTCAGGCCCACTTGTTGATAACAGGTGTCTCCCCGTCCCCAGACAGATGTTTACTACCATTAGTCCCATCCCCCCCATAGTTTCCCACCACTGTCAGTCATTTTCTTATGGTAGTGCATTGGATGATTAAGGTCCACTATATGAGTGAGAACATGTGATACTCAGATCTTTGTTTCTGTGAGAGGTCACTCAGTATTATAGACTCTAGCTCCATCCAGGTTGCTGCGAAATTCATGATTTTGTTCTTTTTTATGGCTGCATAGTATTCCATCATGTATATGTACCACATTTTTTTAATCCAGTCCTCTTTTGATGGGCAGCGTGATTGGTTCCAGGTTCTTGCTATTGTGAACAATGCTGCAATAAACATTTGTGTGCAGGTATCTTTTTTATAGAGTGATTTGAGTTCTTCAGGGAATATTCCCAGTAGGGAGATTGCAGGAACATATGGGAGGTTGATGTTTAGAGCTTTTAGGAATTGCCACACAGCTTTCCACAGAGGTTGCACTAGTTTACACTCCCACCAACAGTGTGGGAGTGTTCCCTTTTTGCCACACCCTCTCCAACAACTACTATTTTCTGAGTTATTAATAATTGCCATTCTGACTGGAGTTAGGTGGTATCTCAGTGTGGTTTTGATTTGCATCTCCCTGATGATTAGTGAGGTTGAGCATTTCTTCATGTGTCTGTTGGCTGCTTGGATGTCTTCCTTTGAGAAGTGTCTGTTCATATCTTTTGCCCATTTTATAATGGGGTTGTTTGTTTTTTTTCTTTTCAGCACATTTGAGTTCCTAGTAGATCCAAGATGTTAAGCCTTTGTCAGACCTGGAGTTGGCAAATACTTTTTCCCAGTCTGTGGGCTGTCTCCCTGCTCTCTTGATGGTTTCTTTGGCTTTGCAGAAGCTTGTCCGTTTAATGAGGTCCCACTTGTCTATCTTATCCCTTATGGCCTGTGGGTTTCGGGTTTTGTTCAGGAATTGGATGCCAGTTCCAATTTCCATGAGGGTATGTCCTTCATTTTCTAAGGTTCTTATGGTTTGAGGTTTTACATTTAGGTCTCTGATCCATTTGGAGTTAATTTTTGTGTATGGAGATAGGTGTTCTGTTTCAATCTTCTGCATGTGGTCAGCCAGTTTTCCCAGCACCATTTACTGAATAGGTTCTCCTCTCCCCAGTGATAGGTGGTGGAGGCTTTGTCGAAGATGAGTTGGTTGAGAAATTGAGGTTTTGCTTCTGGAATCTCAATTCTATTCCATTGATCTATATGCCTGTTCCTATACCAATACCAGGCTGTTTTGATGATTGTAGCTTTATAGTAAAGTTTGAAGTCTGGCAATGTGATACCACCTGCTTTGTTTTTTTTGCTGAGGATTGTTCTGGCTATTCTTGGTCATTTGTGTTTCCATATGAATTCCTGTGTTGTTTTTTCTAGGTCTGAGAAGAATGTTGCTGGTAATTTGATAGGTATTGCATTGAATCTGTAGATTGCCTTAGGTAAAATGGACATCTTCACAATGTTGATTCTTCTAGTCCATGAGCATAGGATATTTTTCCACTTGTTTGTGTCATCTTTGATTTCTTTGAGCAGAGTTTTGTAGTTTTCATTGTAAAGGTCTTTCACGTCTCTGGTTAGGAAGATGCCAAGGTATTTCTTTTTTTTTGAGGCTATTGTGAATGGAATTGTGCTTCTTAATTGGGTTTCTGTTTGTTTATTATTGGTGTAAAGAAATGTGATTGTCTTTTACACATTTATTTTATACCCTGAGACTTTGCCGAAGGCCTTTATCAGTGTAAGGAGGTTTTTGACAGATTCTCTTGGGTTTAAAGGTACACGATCATGTCATCTGCAAAGAGAGATAATTTGACTTCCTCTTTTCCTATTTGGATACCCCTGACTGCTTTCTCTTCTCTGATTGCTCTAGCCAGGACTTCCAGTACTATATTGAACAGGAGGGGTGAGAGTGGGCATTCTTGTCTTGTTCCAGTTTTCAGGGGAAATGGTTCCAATTTTTGTCTATGTAGGAGTATGCTGGCTGTGGGTTTCTCGTAGATGGCTTTTACTACTTTGAGGTATGTTCCCTGTATGCCTAGATGTTCGAGGGTTTTTATCAAGAAGGGGTGCTGGATTTTATCAAAAGCTTTTTCTGCATCTAATGATATAATCATGTGGTTTTTGTGACTTTCAAATGGTTTTCAGTGAGCAGATAGCTGAACTGGTTCTTGAATACAAATTTTTATATAGAGAGTTGAAAGTGCTATAGCCTGGGTAGGTCTTAGTTATTGAAATTTACAAGTTTACTTTAGAATTTTACCTCACAGAAAATGTATAATCCTTCCCCATTGTGCAGTAAAGAATTGGCCTTTGTTCTCTAGCTCCTGGAGGGTGAGCTCTGGGTCACTGGAATGTCCTGCCTGATGGTAGTAACTTTGTTTGCATGGGTGCTTAGGCCACTGGACAGTCTAAAAATGTGACAGTGATAAGGACTTTGAGCCATGCTTTATCATTTCTAACCTCCCAAAGAACTGGAGGCTATAGTTATTAACCTGACTTCCGAGAATGGCTGGACCTAAGGTCAGTCACATGCAACCATCTGTGATCGAGTCCCAACAAAATAGCAAAGTGCATATAGCAGAAAATAAATTTCCTCTTCATACATTTCCTTCCCCTTTTGTAAGTGGTTGGTAATATTTACTTCTAGTCACTGTATCTATGGGTAGATCTGTGTCTATATACATACTAATAAGAGCATGAGTATATATTTATCTGTAGACATAAACACATACATCTATTATTTATTTTTTTTACGTGAATGGAATTATATTCCAAAGACAAAGCAGCCAACTTGAAGAGACTCTTCATTGGCCTAAGATGGTATATTGTGAGCATCCAAACACCAATGACTGCAAATGATTGAAGAACATGAACTATATAATATTCCTGCAGTTCATAGTGACACTTGGAAAAAATAAAAATGCATTTGTCACCATTGGGAATTGGGAGAGAACCAAGTATTTCATCTGAAAAATGATAAAGCAACATAAACATGTTCTTTTTTGTGGGGGGGGGGCGGGTTGACTTTTAAAACTATATTCTTTGTCTCTGTAATTTTGTTATATCAAGAATGTTATGTAAATGGAATTATGCAATGTGTAACATCTTAAAATTTAAGTGGCTTGGTTGTTGCCAGGGACTTGGGGTGGGGGTAGAAGGGTTTGAGTATGAAGGATCCTTGTGATGGAACTATTCTGTATCTTGATTATGGCAATGGCCACGATAATCCGCATATGTGATATAGTTGCCTGGAGTTAAATAAACACACAGCCACACAAGTGAGTACATGTAATTTGGTAAATCTGAATAAGGATTATCAGTGTCAATTTACTGGTTGTGCTTTTGTCTTATAGCTATGCAAGATACTACAATTAGGAGAAACTGGCTGAGGAGTAGATATGCTTTCTGTATTATTTCCTACATTATATATGATAATCTATAACTATCTTTAAAAAATCTAAGCATCATTGATAAGGTATAAGACGCCTTAATTAATACAGTCATTTATGGTCCTTCTTCCAGAAGGGACTGGAGTTATTCGTTTAATCTACCACATTGTTTTCAATGTAAACATAGTTTATTGTTTTTGTTATTTTAAAAGGAGTCATATATACTTCTAATATTTATTACACTTGTTATTTCCCTCTTTTTTTAATTTTTAATTTTTATTGAGTTGGAATCTCACTCTGTTGCCCAGGCTGGAGTACAGTGGCACACTCACAGCCACCACAACCTCGACCTGCTAGGCTCAGGTGATTCTTCCGCCTCAGCCTTTCAAGTAGCTGGAGCTAGGCACCTGCCATCACACTGGCTAATTTTTTTTTATTTACTGTAGAGATGAGGTCTCACCATGTTGCCCAGGGTGGTCTCAAACCCCTGGGCTCAGGCAATCCTCTTGCTTCCGCCTCCCAAAATGCTGGGATTACAGGTGTGAGCCACCACGCCTGGCTCCGTTTTTTGTTATTTAATACCTGAGTTTATGTTAATGAGGTGACTTTTGGAAATTGGAAAACTCCTAAGGAGAAAAGACTAGATGCTAGGGAACCAGCCCTGTGAATAGAGGGTTGGACCTTCAGCCCCACCCCCCACTGCCAAGGAGGGAAGATGGGCATAGAGATGGATCAATCATTAACAGTCCGTGATTTAATCAATCCTATGTATATAGTGATACTTCCATAAAAAAAATAAGAAGGTTTGGAGAATTTCTGGGTTGGTGAACACACTGAGAATGGATGGAAAGCTGAATATATGATTATAGAATATTTTATTAGGGTTTTACTTTCTAAATGTATTTTTTAAAAAACACTAGGTATATAGATACAACTTATAGAGTAGAAACGAGCAGAAAAACTTCAACGTTTCCTCCATATCATCAAATGGACATCACTTCATTAAACAGGACCATGTTATTACAGAAATCCCTGACACTGGAGGATGTGGTTGTGGAGTTCACCTGGGAGGAATGGCAGCTCCTGGATCCCGCTCAGAAGGACTTGTACCAGGATGTGATGTTGGAGAACTATAGAAACTTGGTGTCACTGGGTGAGGACAGCTGCCCTGTGTCACCTAGAGGATGCCCAGTCAGTGGCCTTCCTTTATTCATTTTTTTTTTTTTAGGTGGGAGATTGGGGAAAGGGAGATCTCACTTTGTCACCCAGACTGAGGGGCAGTCATACAATCACCACTCACTGCAGTCTCGAACTCCTGGACACAAGTGATACTCTTGCCTCTGTTTCTGAGTAGCTGGAAAATGCAGGCATGTGCCACCATGCCCGCCTAAGTAGTTGGAATTTTTTGTTTTATTTATTTATTTATTTTGACTGTAGAAAGCCTAATGCTGTGGAAAAAGAAAAAAAAAATTTTTTTTTTTTGACTTGGAGTCTCACTCTGTCGCCCAGACTGGAGTGCAGTGGCCACTCCTGGCCACTGCAGCTTCAACCTGCTGGGCTCTGGCGATCCTTCCGCCTCAGCCTTCCAAGTAGCCAAAACTACGGGCGCACTACCACGCCCGGCTAATTTTTGATTTATTGTAGTGATGAGGTCTCGTCAAGTTGCCCAGGTGGATGTCGAACCTGCAGGCTCAGGCAATCCACTCACCTCAGCCTCCCAAGGCACGGGATTACAGGCTGAGCCATTGAGCCCGGCTACCAGAAAAAAATCTTATAGAGATGTAGAGATGGGATCTCACTATGCTGCTGAGTCTGGTCTGAAACTCTTAGGCTCAAGTGATTCTCCCTCCCTGACCTCCCAAAGTGCTAGGATTATAGGCATGAGCCACTGTGCCTGGCCCAACCTTCCTTTCTTAGCTGCTAATTCTTTAGAGTACTCTGAAGTGGTAGATTCTCAGATCCCTCTCTTGACCCACACAAGAGACTATATAATCTTACTCCTGAGAGAAAAACCTTGACATTATGGATGTAAAACATATTTAGTCCCTAAAATGTAACATTCTCCCTTTTTGACATACCTAGCCTTAATTCACTGTGTCTAAGTCTTCTGTCATTTCCCATGAGCAGGGTATCAAGCTAGCAAACCAGATACACTCTCCAAGTTGGAACAAGGAGAACCACCATGGACAATAGAAGATAAAATCCACTGTGAAGGCCCTTCAGGTGAGTGAGAGAACCAGCAAGGGGGAAGGCTAGGGAAGTTACATTCTAGTCAGTCAGAGAAGGCATCACAGCTGTAAAGGGGAGTTAGGGATATGTAGACAGCTCCTCCATGCATTGTCTCCCAGTGTGTAACTCTTTTTCTTTGTAGTTTAGAGAAAAATATATCCCTTCATTTCTGGGGTCTGATCCCTCTTTATCTACATCTTGATTTTTTTGTTTGTTTGCATCATTTTCTTTCTAGAATTTCCAAATATTTCCCTCCTTCATGCCCTTTTTTCATTATGAAGTTCCACTTTCCAGGCCACTCTTCAAAGAGAAAACTTTGAGTTCCTTGCTGTCTTTTGACTACTGCACCATTCTATTTCATTGGGTAATGCCAATTTCCCTTCCTAACACCCACCCTATAGTGGATGCTGCATCCTCAGGGTAAGCTGAGTTTACATTGTGCCTTGGCTTCCTTGGCTTCTCTTTTTCCTTACTCTCAGACTCTCCAAAGTTTCTGTTTTCTATTTTCTCATCTATTCTTCTTCCTCCTGAACGTTTCATTCATTCTAATAAAATAAAGTTCCTTCTGTTCCCTGGAAGAAACTCCCAAACTGACATCTCCCCAGTGTTACTAACACAGATTTTAGTTCTGTGTAATTTATTGGCAACTCTCCCATGAGTTTCTAATTACTGCAAGACACTAGAGTCATCTTCTCTCTAAAGAAACCTCTCTAAGTTTAGGTTTTCCTTTATTCTTGTACATCCTACATCTTGGCCACCCTGGTATTACCTACCTGTAGCATTCTCTTTAATGGTCTTTGTTGTTCATGATGACTTTTTTTGGTTTGGGGTTTTTTTTGAGTCAGAGTCTCACTCTGTCGCTCAGGCTGGAGTGTAGTGGCACACTCTTGGCCACCACAGCCTCAACTTGCTGAGCTCAGGCAGTCTCCTGCCTCAGCCTTCCAAATAGCTGGAACTACAGGCACACGCCACTATGCCCAACTAATTGTTTGATTTATTGTAAAGTCTCACCATGTTGCCCAAGCTGGTCTCGAATTGCCTGTGAGCTCAGGCAATTCTCTTGCCTTGGCCTCCCAAAGTACTGGGATTTCAGGCGTGAGTCACCGTGCCTGGCCATGATGACTTTTTAACACCCTCCATCCTCAGATCCAGCCTAAGCCAGGTCATGCCTACTTGGATGGGATTCCTTTGTGTATTTACTAATTCAGAGCTTTCTTCTTGTTCATTGTAGATATTACTGTTGTATTTGCCTTTGTTTTTCCCCCATCATATTCGTATGACACCAAGTCTTAGTTAACTGTGTTACCTGTTAAATGATATTCAAATTCTTGTTTCAATGTCGCTGTGATATGGTATCATCTTGCTTACATAGAAATTTCCATCTTCTTTCCTAATCTCTATCCAATGTGTTCTGTATATGTGATTACATCTCTGATTCATTCCTTTAAAAATCAGAGCCTCACTCTATCACCCAGTCTGGAGTGCAGTGGCACACTCATGGCTACTAGAACCCTGACCTGCTGGGCTCAGGTGACCATTCCACCTCAGCCTTTAGAGTAGCACTACAAGCATGTGCCACCACACCCAGCGTGGTCTTGCCAAGTTGCCCAGACTGGTTCTCCAATTCCTGGGCTCACGCAGTCTTCTTGCCTCTGCCTCCCAAAGTGCTGGGACTGCAGGTGTGAGACATCACGCCTGGCCCAAAATTATTTTTTGATAGTGTAATACATACTGGGGAATAACAGCAGTGAGCAGAAACATACCAACAGTAGACCAAGAGCTTTCATTCTAAGAGGAGGAGATATAAAATAAGGTTGCATTATGTCATAAGTACATGCCAGGGCTGGGGTTACTCTCAGGAAAGGGAGTAATTCTCTGAGATGGTACCTTTGAGCCAAGAGATGAGGAAGTTAGGCTTCTGGATTAGAGTGTTCCAAGTAGAGAGAATAGTGAGTTTAAAAGTTGAAGACAGCGCCGGGCGTAGTGGCTCTAATCCCAGCTTTTTGGGGGATGGAGGCGAGAGGATTGCCTGAGCTCAGGGGTTTGAGACCAGCCTGCCAGCCTGGGCAACTTGGTGAGGCCTTGTCTCTACAATAAATCAAGAAAAATTAGCTAGGTATGGTGGCGCACACCTGTAGTTCCAGCTACCTGAAGACTTAGATGGAAGGATCACCTGAACCCAGGAGGCCAAGGCTGCGGTGGCCATGAGCATGCCACTGCACTCCAGCCTGGACTACAGAGTGAGACTTCAACTTAAAAAAAAGTTCAAGACTGGACTGTGTTTGAGAAACCAAGGAGCCCACATGAATGAAGCAGAGTGTGTTGTTGGGATCACAGTTGGAAATAGGCCACAGAGGCAGCAGTAACTGGGGGAGAGAAAAGTTGATCATGGAGAGCCTGATGATCCATTTCAAGGAATCATGATTTTATTCCTAACAAGATGAGAAGGTATGTCAAGACCTTGAGTACTGAAATGACATGGAATAATTTTTTTTATTTTTTTAAATTTTTTATTTTTTGAGTTGGAGTCTCACTTTGTCGCCCAAACTGGAGTGCAGTGGTCGCTCCTGGCCACCACAGCCTCAGCCTGCTGGGCTCCAGCGATCATCCCGCCTCAGCCTTCCAAATAGCCGGAATTACAGGCATGTGCTACCATGCCCGGCTGATTTTTTGATTTATTGTAGAGATGAGGTCTCGCTGCCCAGGCGGGTCTCGAACCTGCGGGCTCAGTCAATCCACTCACCTCAGCCTCCCAAAGGCGCGGGATTACAGGCTGAGCCACCGAGCCCGGCTGAAATAATTTGTTTTAAAGGGATCAATGACTACTGGGTAGAACAGTAGACAGTAGCAGGCAGGGTGTGAGCAGGAAAGCCAGGTAGGAAGCTGCCTTGTGGGGAGGGGTCAGTGTTGGTGAGATTCTGGATACACTAATTAAAGAAGACAGAATTTGTAGTTTAAATAAATGGTGGAGTGGTAAGAGGAAGAAATAGATAAAGGCTGATGGCAAGGGTTGTAGGGTAGAAACTGCTGTTAAGGAACATTGAAGTAGCATAACTGGATGATGAGTGTTGGGCTGCTGTGCTTTTAGGAACAGGAATACTCTGTTCAGATGCATTTGAGCAGGTGGATGAGGGATGTGAGTAGTTTCAAGCAAGGAGGGTTATAATGTGAAGCAATTGGAAGGTCTAAGGCCTGAGGCAGGAACATGTCTGAGAAACTTTTGGAAGCTTGTGTGGTTGGAAGCAAGAGGGAAATGACTGGAGATAAGGTTAGTGGGGGTTGTGGGAGAGCTGATTACACAGGACTGTTCAAGGACATTTCAAGCCCTTGATTTTATTGCTAATGAGATGAGAAAATATTAAAGAGTTTTTAGTAGAGAAGGAGTGACATGATGTAATTTATGTTTAAAGAATCACTTTGACTACTGTATAGAAAATATGAGCTGGGTGCAGTGGCTCACGCCTGTGGTTGCAACTGCTTGGGAGGCTGATGTGGGAGACTGCTTGAGGCCAGGACTTTGAGATCAACCTGGGTAATATAGCAAGACCCTTTGACTACAAATAACTTTTTAAAAAGTTAGTTGGGCAAGGTGGCGTGTGCCTATAGTCCCAGCTACTCACCGGGCTCAGGTGGGAGGATCACTTGAACAATCTAGGAGTTCTAGGTTTCAATGAGGAATGATGGCAGCACTGTACTCCAGCTTGGACGACAGAGACCCAAATAAATAAGTAAACAAACAAACGGTAGCTGGTGGGAGAGGAAGCAGGAAAGCCAGGCAGGAGGCTATCGCCATAGTGAATGAAAGTGACTGACTTTGACTTGGGTGAAGGGGTTGGGTGTTGGTCGCATTTTGGATATATTTATGTAGGAGGGAAGGTGGGATTTACCACTGAAGTGGATATAGGGTGTGAGAGAAAGAAACAGATGAAGGGTGATACTGACCAGTTTTGGCATGCATAAAGCGAGCGTCCATTTACCGTGATAGAGATGGCATTTAGAAGAGATTTGGGCCGGAAAATTGTTTTGGAGATTGTTAGGTTTGACTTGCTTGCTAGTATTCAAGTGAATCTCTCTGCTGTGTTTGGATGTACCTGAGATGTTTGACAGGTTAGGTCTAGAGATAGATATTTGGACTAGATAAGAAATTCTAGGAGTGAAGGAGAGAGGCAAAGAAGAGCCCTGGGAATTAGAAATTAGATGAGTGAGTAACTAGTAAAGTAGGCTGAGAAAAAGCAAGTGTTTAGTTTGCATGTTTGGCTGATGTCCTGTTAGCAGGGGACATTTGGGTAAATTGGATAACTACTATATTGTAAACTCTATTGTGGACTCTGTATATTTCTAATTCATTAGAATGGAGAATTGTAGGTAAGTTTTGTATTTTCCTAGCTTCCTTTTTCTGCTGAGGTAAGACCTTTCTAGCTAAGACCTCTCTTGTCTTACTTTTTGCGGAGGTCCAGCTTCCATAGAGCAGGGCCTGAGGTGGGGGGAGGGAATGAGAAAAGAAAAAGAACAGCAGGATTGGGAGGTCTCTCGTCTCAATAGGTGAGAGCAAGTTTATTCTCACAGCATGTTTTTTATATAGGGCAAAACTACATAAACAAGAAATATCTTAATGCTAGCATCAGCTGGGAAAGAGGTTAATGTTTGTGACTTTTTTGGCAAGCTTACTATAGCACTAACATCTACGTTTTCTGAGAGTCTAGGCAAAGCCATTAACATCTGTGTTCTTTGAAGTTCTGAGTAAGGTTATTATTGAAGCAGGCTACATCTAGCCTACACAGACTAGAGGTGACACCACCTGAATTCTACTAAATCAACATTCTCAGGGACAAACATCGAGAGAAGAAAACACTGGCTAAGCTCTTGTTGGATCCAGGCCAGAAGCACAAGGACCTTGTCAGGCTTGTGTATTTTTAGGACATAAGGACCTTGTCAGCTTATGTCCTTGTTTCCTTCAACTTTTCACCTGGATGGCAAATGTGTAACAGTAGGGTACATCCAGATATTCTAGGAAAAGCTGGAGATAAAGCTACCAGGAGTCTTGATCCAGGAGGAGGAAGTGGTCCCTCTGGAACTTTTAATTGATGCCCGCCAAGACATAAGAGTAGAATTATGGAAGAATATGGCACTAGGGGCAAGAGGAGAGATCAGAAGAAAGTGAAATGGGAAGAATCTGTATCTGTACAGGAACAGCATTTTTAAAAAGGTGACAGTTCCTACAGCTATTACAGCCATTTGTCTGCCTCTAGAGACTGTGTGCTCCACTGCTCAGTCATATATTCCATAAGGACCATTGCATTCCTCTTTCTGCAGGAATAAAGGAGACTGTTACAGCTAGACTAATGTTTGGTGTGCTGATGACAGCAGTGTTCCAGTAAGTGTGAGATTGGTGCCTTGAGAAAGTTGGTTTGATGGTGGTCTACAGAAAGAAGGGCAAATTTTAGGAACAGGATCACTACCCAAGAATCTATCAGAGTTAACTAAAGGTGCTGAGTGTCAAACTGTCTGACCTACCTCTATAGGATAATTGTTTGAATCACCAGTGTCTGCTTATCTCTGTGGTCAGGATGGTTAACATTTGATTTCCCTCATTGTGCTTTTCCTAATTTCCAAACCCTGACTGTAGAATGAAGCTTTGGCCTTGTGCCTTCATCTTCTTTTATTCTTTGTCTGTAAATATGTATTTACTAAAGTTTTCCAAGGCTGAATGCAGTGGCTCATGCCTATAATCCTAGCACTTTGGAAAACCAGAAAAGGAGGATCGCTTGAGCCCAGGAGTTCAAGACCAGACTGGGCAACATAGCGAGACTTCATACCAAAAAAACTTTTTAAGTTAGCTGGGCATAGTGGTGTGTATCTATAGTCTAAGCTACTCAGGAGGCTGAGACTGGAGGATTGCTTGAGCCCAGGAATTTAAAGCTGTGGTAAGCCATGATCATGCCACAGTCCTCTATCTTAGGCAACAGGGTGAGACCCTCACTCAAAAAAACAAAAACAAACCAAAAAAAAACACGTTTTCAAAATTGAGATCTTCAGTTAAGGCTTTTATCAAAATGTAGAAATCCTTTATACTTCACATCTATACTTGAGTATGTAATGATCACCTTAAAGTTGATATGCTTCAGAATATACACTTGACTTCCTCTACCTCCTGTCCTTTAGTGGTTTTCCTTATCTTATTAAGAGAAACAAGTAAACCAGTGATCCAAGCCAAATACTTGAGTATTTCTCAAATCTTCATTTTCTTGAGCCCCCCTGATGCCAGCTGCAAAAGTGAATCTGTCTGTAAGTCTTGTCTTCTAAAATATAACCTGATTTCCTCTGCTTCTCTCCATTCCCATGGCTCCATGGCTTCAAACCCCTTTGCACAATCTACAGCTGCTTTCCTTGTGTCTCTTTGTGGTTTTTTTGTTTTGTTTTGTTTTGTTTTGAGTTTGCTCACAGCCACCACAGCTTTGACCTGCTGGGCTCAGGCAAGCCTTCTGCCTTAGCCTTCCATGTAGCTGGAACTACAGGCATGTGCCACCATGCCCAACTATTTTTTTATTTATTGTAGAGATGAGGTCTTGTCAAGTTGCCCAGACTGGTCTCGAACCCGAGGGCTCCAGCAATCCTCTCACCTTGGCCTCCCAAAGTGCTGGGGTTATAGGTGTGAGCTACCATGCCCAGCCTGTGTGTGTGTGTGCGTGTGTGTGTTGAGTCAGAAGTCTTACTCTTGCACAAGCTGGAGTGCAGTGGCATGCTCATGGCCACCACAGCCTCAGCCTGCTGGGCTTGGGCCATCCTTCCACCTCAGCCTTCCAAATAGCTGGAACTATAGGCATGTGCTACCATGCCCGGTTAATTTTTTGATTTATTGTAGAGATGAATCCTAACCAAATCTCCCAGACTGGTCTTGAACCCCTGAGCTCAGGCAATCCTCTCACCTTGGTCTCTCAAAGTGCTGGAATTACAGGCTTGAGCCACTGTGCCTGGCCTTCTTTGTGCTTTTAAGTCATTTTACCAAACTATAGTGTAAGCTCCAAGAAAATGAGGAAAATATTTTTGTACCCCCAACACCAGCACTGTGCCCTGTGCACAGTGGCAATTCCATAAGAGTGTGTAGAATGGGCCAGGCTCAGTGGCTCAGCCTGTAATCCCAGCACTTTGGGAGGCTGATGTGAGTGAATTGCCTGAGCCTGTGGGTTTGAGACCAGCCCGGGCAACTTGGTGAGACCTCGTCTTTCCTATAAATAATAATAATTTTTTAAAAAATTAGACGGGTGTGGTAACACATGCCTTTGATTCCAGCTACTTGGAAGACTAAGGCAGAAGGATCACTGGAGGCCAGCAGGTTGATACTGGAGTGGCCATGGGTGTGCCACTGCACTCTAGCCTGAATGATGGAGTGAGATTCCAACTCAAAAAAAAAAAGAGTGTATAGAATGACTGAATCTGTCCTCTGAGTGGCTCTCAACTACTGGTCTATGGCTCACAGTGATCTGCTTGTATTTTATAATCTTCACATGTTTTGCAAGACCTTATTTAGAAAGCAGCCAACCAGGTGCAGTGACTCAAGCCTGTAATGTGAGCACTTTGGGAGGCCAAAGCAAGAGGACTGCCTGAACCCAAGGGTTAGAGACCAGCCTGGACACCTTGGCAAGACTTTGTCTCTACAGTAAATCAAAAGTTAGCCAGGCGTGGTGGTATGCACCTGTGGTTCCAGGTACTTGGAAGGCTGATGTGGGAGGATCATCTGAGCCCAGCAGGTTGAGGCTGAAATGGTTATGCGTGTGAAACTGTGACTTAAAAAAAAGAGAGAGAGAAAGAAATCTGTCAAAGCTATATTTATTCATTAGAATTATTCAACTTTGTTTTTACGTTAAATGTTTTTACCTTTTGGTTTGTGCATTAGTTCATTTGTGTTGCTATAAAGGAGTACCTGAAAGTGGGTAATTTATAAAGACAAGAGGTTTATTTGGCTTACAGTTCTACAGGCTGTACAAGAAGCATGGTGCCAGCATCTGCTCAGCTTCTGGTGAGGTCCTTAGGAAGCTTTTATTCATTGTAAAAGGGAAGCAAGCATGTCACAGGTGAGAAAGAGAAGTGGAAGGAGGTACTATGTTCTTTTAAACAGCCACTTCTTGTGTGAATTGAGAGAGAAAGAGATCACTCATTACTGTGAGGATGACACCAATCCATTCATGAGGGATCCATCCCCATGACCCCAACACCTCTCACTCAGCCCCACCTCTAACAGTGGAGATCAGGTTTCTTCATGAGATTTGGAGGGGATTGCCAGAGCCCTTGGATTCAAGACTAGTCTGGGCAACTTGGCGAGACCTCATATCCAAACTTTATCATCCTGTTTATATTATTATTATTTTTCCCAATGTGCAAGGAACATTAACCATGGAGTTTTATTTACACTCCTGTTACAGGGTTATCACTAAAGAAATAGCTCACATCTAGGCATTAAAAAAAAAATCAAGATGATGGAATACTCATTGTTCTTTTCTTTCTAGAAATCTGGAAAGTTGGGGGTCATCTGCCAGAACATTTACAAAGTGAAAGCCTAGTGAACAGAATGGAACATAATGCATTTGAAAATATTGTTCATCAGAGCAAAAGCCAGTTTCTCTTAAGGCAAAATCATATTTTTGACTTACATGAAAAAAGTATGAAATCAAATCTAACTTTAGTTAATCAGAGCAAAAGTTATGAAATAAAGAACTCTGCTGAGTTGACCAGAAATAGGGAATCTTTTCTCCATGTTAACCATAAACAATTTCATACTGAAATTAAATTCCCCGCAAGTGAAAAACTCATCAACACTAAGTCCCAATTCATCAGTCCCAAGAATCAGAAAACTCGAAAAATAGAGAAGCCTCACATATGCAGTGAATGTGGGAAAGCCTTCATCAAGAAGTCTTGGCTCACTGATCACCAAATCATTCATACAGGAGAGAAACCCCACAGATGTAGTCTGTGTGGGAAAGCCTTCTCCAGAAAGTTCATGCTCACTGAACATCAGAGAATTCACACAGGAGAAAAACCTTACGAATGCACTGAATGTGGCAAAGCCTTTCTCAATAAATCACGGCTCAACATACATCAGAGGACGCACACAGGAGAAAAACCCTATATATGCAGTGAATGTGGAAAGGGCTTCATCCAGAAAGGAAATCTTATCGTACATCAGCGAATTCACACAGGTGAGAAACCTTACATATGTAATGAATGTGGAAAAGGCTTCATTCAGAAAACATGCCTCATAGCACATCAGAGATTTCACACAGGAAAGACGCCCTTTGTGTGCAGTGAATGTGGAAAATTCTGTTCTCAGAGGTCAGGTCTCATTATACATCAAAGAATTCACACAGGAGAGAAACCCTTTGAATGCAGTGAATGTGGAAAAGCCTTTACCACAAAGGAAAAGCTTGTTGTCCATCAAAGAACTCATACAGGAGAGAGGCCCTATGGCTGCGATGAATGTGGGAAAGCTTTTGCATATATGTCTTGCCTTGCGAAGCATAAGAGAATACACACAAGGGAGAAATGGGAAGGTTCAATCAAGGTGGAAAATCCTCCTGCAGAAAGTCACAGTTCATTCCATACCAGCGATGTCATGCAGGAGAAAAACTCTGCTAATACAGTGACGTCACAAGTGCTTTCTGTGGCCCCTCAGACATCATTAAACATCAGTGACCTCTTGGCAAACAGGAACGTAGTCCTTGTGGGGCAGCCTGTGGCCAGATGTGCACCCTCAGGAGATAACAGAGGATTTGCACAGGAGAGAAACCTTGCGAATATAGTGAATGTGGTTGTGCCTTCAGTGGTCAATTATGTCTTATTTTATGTCTCAGAAAACCCATAGAAAGAAAACCCAGATATAAGATATAGTCTATCTGGAAAAGGACTGAGCAAACATATCTAGTTCATTATATGGATGAAAAGCATATACTGAGAGAAAATGTATAAATGCAGAGACTGGGAAAGCCTGATAAACTCACTCTATTTACATGTATGCCTTGATAGAGAGGCATAATCTGATGTTAACCCAAACACATACACAACAATTGCTCTGTCAATTAAATGAATGAAGCCCAAATTATTTTAAATGGAAGAAATAAGTAGTATGAATTTTTGAAAGATAACATAATCAGTATATGGTTTGTTGCTATGAATGAAAAGCCACATAAGGGGCAGTTAGTAGGAAAGGGCTGATAGTGGATTGGTGGGATGTCAGGCACGTGCACTTACATACCAGTTCAGTTTCCTCAGCCCAGTGTGAAGGATTAGTGAAGACCAGGACCATAAACTTTTAGAACTTTATATTATGGAGAGGGTATCTAAAAAATAATAACCTTAAATTAAACCAATTTAACAAATTCTTTCATTTAACAAATATCTGAGAATTACTTTCTTTGTACCCGGTCCTGTTCCTGGGGCTGAGGTCATGGTGATGATCAAAGCAGAAAAAGTTTGTGGTTTCCTGGAGATGGCATTGAGTTTGCTGGATTATTTTAAGGGTTATCTGTACATTCCAGCTAATCTAGTCAGGGGATGTAAATAACTACATTAGGTGAAGTAACTGCTTCAAGGGGTTATGATAATTTATTGTTCATGGTGTGGGGAAGGACCGCTCTTAATGGTACTTAAGTACCTTAGAACACAAATAAGTTTTTTTTTTTTTTTAAATGCCCATGTCTTTTCTCTCCAAGAAATTACAAATTCCCCGATAATTTTTGTGGCTACTTAAATTTTAAAGCTAAAAAAATTTAAAACAAAATTAAAAATTAAGTTCCCAAGCTGCACTAGCCACATGTCAAGTGGTCAGTGGCTACTGAATTGGACAGCACAGGGAACAGAAGTGTGAGACAATGTGGAATCTCTATCCTCATTTCCAACATCCCAGAAAGTTGTGTTTTCAGGACTGGTTTACATGACTTTATTTCCCAACACACAGAAAAAAAACTATATATTGATTTGAAAAGTAAGTGAGTGAACTAGTGGGTTAATTAAAGATATATTTTGTCATCAAAGGGAATGACAGTTATAATGGTATTGTCACTCAAAACATTTTTGTGATTAGAGAGACTTAGTAACTGAATACAAAAGGGACAGAACAGAAGAAGGAAAGTGTCCTTAAAATGAGTAGAACAAAAGGAGAATAAAAATCTTAGTGTCTTAAGAATGGTGGAAAGTAAAACGGGCGGGAAGTTCCCTTGAGGATATCTTAGAGATGATGCTTTCTATCTGTCCACAGAAGTGTCCCCCACTATAGTTATAATTTTGAAGATCCCTGTTCTCTGTGTCCTCCTGAAGTGAGATGTGATTTATCTTTGTCATTCTTCTCACTTTCCTTGGTCTTCTTTATCCACAGTTCTTTACCTTAAGCCCATAAAGATATACTTTCTGAGTTACAGTGAGTCCTGCTTTTAGAGAAAGAGATGGAAATGTGCCTTGCTATGGCTATCTCAATTTGATAGAAATCCTGGGTTATTGGGTAGTTCACTTCTTCAGGAATATTTTAAAGTACCATCACTATGCAAGACACTGTTTTACACATGGGGATAGATCAGTAAACTAAACACTCAAAGGAACATCCATTATGAGCCTTACTATCTAATGAGGCAGAGAAACAGTAAAAAGGATTATATCATGTTAGGAAGAAGAAAAGTAAGACCTAGTAATCAATAGTAATGTATAGGTAGTAAAGAGGGCTTTAAAAAATTATTTTTCCCCCAGGGAAGACTTTTCTTGATATATATAATTTGTACCAAGAGTGAATATACTGAGGATAGCCAGTCATCATAATATTTGTAAGCAGAGAAAACTGGAGAACTGTTTCTCGTTGGCTACCTGCCTTAGAAGTTTCTGAGAAGTATAAAAGAATACAAATTCCTGATCATACTTCAGACTTCCAAAGACAGAGCCTCTGGAGCTAGAGCCCAGGACTCTGCATTTCTAACAAGGGCTTTCTGGTGCACACTTAATTTTTAAACAGCTTTGCCCCAATCATTACCCCCACATTATAATGGAATGAATTTGGGGCAGATATTCTTCAGCCAAGAATCAGAAATGGGTGCTCCATTAACCAGCCCCTTGGGTACTCATCCACTTCTCATCTTTCTGTGAATCTGTACATCCTGCCATGGCAAGGTGAGGTTGCTCATTCTCTGTATCAGTCAGGGTCTGAGGATGGGTTGGTCAGGCCTGCCCTGAGCCCTGTGGACTAGGTGCTGAACTCACCTTTCAGAGCTTGTCACAGATGGAGGCCCTGTACACACTTAAGTGTGGTGCATACCATGTATACTTCAAGCCCAGCATCCTTATGGTTTCAATGAAGATCACCCTTCATCTGCTCCCATGACCTCAGACAACGCCGTCGTGTATGGTGTCAGGATGGGTCCTGAGGTCAAACTGTTATGACCAAGCTGCATGCCTTTGAGCAAGTGACTGACTACCTAGGTCTTAATTTTATCATTAAAATAGTATCTGCCTCAGGTTTGTTATGTGAAATATGTGTGAAGTACTTAAAATGGTGCCTAGTAAACAAAATAATAGAGTATTAATGCTATTATTAGTCTTAGTGAGGGGAAGAGGTGATGATCAACAGTATAGGTGTGTCTGGCCTTAATCAAAACAGTTGCTTGATAACAAAAGATTGCCATGCACTGAGCCAGGGATTTCTCATATAGCATACTTCTTAACCTTAATGAACCTGTGATTATAAAACTTTCTTGCTTTAAACTTTGAAACCTGGCAATGACTGTTCTGCTTGGAGTTTGGACAATGGCAGAAATCCTTAAAATGGCTGTCAAGTCGGCATGTTGTTCCTTCTCTTTCCAATGTTCCACCTTGCTCTCCCCATTCCTGACAGACTGGTCCTCTTTTTTTCTTTTCTTTTTTAAAAATTCGTTTTATTATTTATTTATTCCAGCAGCTTTGGGTATACAAGTGGTTTCTGGTTACATGGCTGCTTTATATAGTGGTTAAGAAATCTGGACTTTATTTATTTATTTATTTATTTATTTATTTATTTATTTATTTGTTTTCTGAGTTGGAGTCTCACTCTGTCGCCCAGACTGGAGTGCAGTGGCCATTCCCGGCCACCGCAGCCTCAACCTGCTGGGCTCCAGCAATCCTTCCGCCTCAGCCTTCCAAATACCTGGAATTACAGGCGCGTGCTACCATGCCCGGCTAATTTTTGATTTATTGTAGAGATGAGGTCTCACCAAGTTGCCCAGGCGAGTCTCGAACCCACAGGCTCAGGCAATCCACCTACCTCAGCCTCCCAAGGCGCGGGATTACAGGCTGAGCCACCGAGCCCAGCTAGAAATCTGGACTTTAAACATACCCATCACCCCCAGTAGAGCACATTGTAGCCAACAGGTGATTTTTCATGCCTCTTCTTTTCCTATTTTCCCCCTTCTTAGTCTCCAGTGCCCACTATACCATTCTATATGCCTTTGCAAACCAATAGCTTAGTTCCCACTTATACATGAGAAAATGTGGTTTTTTTTTTTTCCTGTGTTACTTCACTTAGAATAATGGCTTCCAGTTCCATCCAAGTTGCCACAAAAGACAATATTTTGTTCTTTTCTCTGGCTGAATAGCATTCCATGGTGTGTATGTGTGTATCACATTTTCATTATCCACTGATCAGCTGATGGGCAATTCCACATCTTTGCAACTGTACATTGTGATGCAATAACTATGAGTACAGGTGACTTTCCTATAACAACCACTGTTCCTTTGGGGAAGTAATGAGATTGCTGGATCGAATGGTAGATCTACTTTAAGTTTTTGAGAAATCTCCATACCTATTTTCATAGAGGTTGTATTAATTTACACTACCACCAACTGGATAAGAGTTTCGATTTTTAAAGAGTGGCAGACTGGCCCTCTTTTAGTGCCTCACATGTTACTGACTTCCCTTCATACCTCCCAGCCTTTGTGCATGTGCATTCTCTACCTGAACTGTTCTTTCCTCCTATCTTCTGTGTTTTTCCTCATCCTTCATGATCTATCTACAAACACCACTTCTTCAGAGCGGCTTTCCCTTCCCGTCTGGCTTTCCATAGAATCATGCTCTTCTCTTTCCTAGCACTTAGGAGATTTGCGGTTTTACATTTCCTAGATTTAGGTGTGTATTCCCCATCTGGATTCTAAACTTCCTAAAAGCAAGGACTGTTTTTTTCCCTCATCATTCCACCTCCGACACTGAGCACTGGAGCAGGAACCTTGCAGACATTTACACCGTATTTTGCTAAACTAGGGACTGGTGATTAGACAGCATAAATTGTTTGTCCTATGCCACGTAGCTTCCAAGTAGCAGGACTTACTTGTGAATCTCTTCTGGCATCCAAAACTTTTTGTTGGAGAATTTTTTTGTTTTTGTTTATAATCTCACCCTTAGGTTATCCTATGATTAGATCTTACTCCTAGGGGGAAAACAATTTGCTCTTCTGATTGAAATAGTTGAATAGGTTGCACAGTTAGACATGGTTCAAACCTTAAAACCAAACAAAAAGGTACATTTATGAATCTCATGCTTACTCTATTCTCAGTTCTAGTTTTCCCTTGATCTTCTGCCTGTTACAGGTAAACATGTTTACTGTGAATCCCTTCAGTGTTTCTTTTTATAAATACAAACAAGTTGGCATTATTACTTGTCCCTTCTCAAAAAGCAGCATAGTCTATGACCACACCACCCTGAACATGCCTGATCTCGTCCGTTGAAAAGCATAATGTATATACTTTGGCATCTTTTCTATGTTGAATTTTCACTAAGCAGCAGTACAGCACCTTAAGGCAAAGTGAGGAAGGAAATACTGTATCCTGTAAGCCAAATTAAGTTGTTACTTCAATACCTTGTTAGTGAAATACTGTATTCTAGTTTTTGTTTTGAGCCAGGCATACAAAATATTAGTCTGCCTTTCACAAA